GTAATAACTCTTACATTAACATGATTACTTTGTAATAACTCTTACATTAACATGATTACTTTGTAATAACTCTTACATTAACATGATTACTTTGTAATAACTCTTACATTAACATGATTACTTTGTAACAACTTTTTTAAACTGTAAACTTTCTAGTAATTCTGTTAAAGGAAATATTCGAAAGTCTTAAAATTTATTATAACTTACACTAATTTTATCATTTTCATATATTCCGTCTAATTATTATTAAGAAAAACATTCATTATATTGAAAAGATTTTCAATTAACTAATTAACTAATGATGGATGGTAAAATGAAACAGATACACTTAGCCGGAAAATAAAAGAATTGAAATTCATGAAAGAGACGAACATATATCAAATTTAAATTTAAATAAACAAATCAAAGCACCAAAACTGTATAATGAGCAGAAAAAAAGAACAATAAATGATAAACAGTTATGTAATATGGCTCAATTAAATCATTTCAATGAATAATCAGAAAACTAACAATTTTAAAAAATCATTTCATCGTCATATCAATTGATTCATTGCATAATTGATGCTATCATAATTGATAACATATCACAGCATATCTCAAGTTGATCCACTGTTCCATTATTTTTCCTTATCAATCTATTCAAATTAAAAATCAATTTTATCATTACAACATCATTTTTGATGTTTACTTTAAAACAATCCTTATCTTTCAACAAAACTTGTCAACTTCCAGTAATATTTCTTTGTGTTCATATAGTCCTTCACCTCAATATTACATTTTAAATTATTGCTAACATCTTTCTTCATTGAAGCATAAAACTAATCTGTAACATTTAGGCAAAAAAATAAATTAAAAAAGGTAAAAATTAACGAAAATACAAAAAAAAGCACTAAATAAACTAAGCGCAAATTCGCAAATTCCCTAAAAAGATGAATATAATTCTTTGGTGCATAACTTTTTCTGGAACAATTTTCATGACAGATATAATCTTTGATGTCGTGACAGTTAAAAGAAAAGGGAGTTAAGAAGGTGAGGTAGATTGTTATTGTTCGTTGTAGAAGCTGTTATAATTTTAAAGGAATGACTTACAGTGTATCGGTTCGTTTAGTGCTCGCAACTTACAACAGATTATCCTTTATTATCGTCTGGATACTAAATACAGTAAAGACAGGTTCAAATAATTCCAATTACAATGGAATGACTCCCAGGGTAAAGCCAGTAGAATAATGAGATTTTATAGATTGGGATAGATGGAGAGCGTTTGTGTGAACCTGAATGTCGACAGATAGGTTTTTTGCCAACAATGAATGAATCTTAGGATTCCATATGTTTATGTAAGGAGTGTGTAAGGAGAAAGGAAAGAAATACGGTGCTTAACAGATATTTAGAGATAAACATGTTTATTAGATATCTCTACAGTATGCCCATCCGTGTTTATAAGATTCGTTGTCATCCAGATGTGCGCAAATCTCAACATCAGACAAAGCTCATTTAGAGGATTTAAAGATTTGATAGCTGACTCATACCTTTGAGCATGAGAGAAAAAATAAATGTAAATGCAAACTATTTAAATGAATAATTTTATGATACAATTATTTCGGTTTTTCCGACATTTGATGCATTACCTTTTCTGAAACAATTTTCGTGACAAATATAATCTTTGATGCATTACCTTTTCTGGAACAATTTTTGTGACGGATATAATCCTTGGTGCATAAACCTTTTCTGGAGTAATTTTTGTAATTTCGGTTATGATTAAAAGTCAAACTTTAGTACCAGCTTTAGTATTTCGTATATATATTAGTACTAGCTTTAGTATTTCGTATATATATTAGTACTAGCTTTAGTATTTCGTATATATATTAGTACTAGCTTTAGTATTTTCGATATATATTAGTACTAGCTTTAGTATTTTCGTATATAT